CCCGCCCGCCCAGTGACAGCGCGGGCGCCCCGCGCCGCGGGCCTTTTCTGCAGCGCTGTGGCCAATGACGCGCAGGGGGCGGGCCGGGAACGCGAGGGGACCACGCCCCGCCGGGGCTCGGGGTCCCAAGTCCCCGCTCCGCCCCGCCCGCCTCTGTCCCCTCCCCCGGGCCCCGGGAAAAACTGGCTGGAGCCGGGCCCTGGCGCCACGTCCTCCCGACCCGGGAAGAAGCCTGCGGGTGCGGACTGCACCGCCCAGGGGAGGTGTTTGCCAAGGTACCAGATGTTAACAGACTGAGCATCGCGGTGTTCTCGTTTAAGACAGCATCTTTACTGCATGAACCAGTGCTACTTAGTGGCAGATGATCTACCACTGCACAGGCGTCCGCTTCAGTGTATCTTCCGCAAGGAGACACCGAGGACGACACAGGGACACGTTCGCTCCCCCAGGGCTCATCCCGCTCCCACTAGAATGTACGTCCCCCAGGTTAAAGTCTTACTTTAAAAAGTAGGATGAGGGGGCTGGGGATTTAGCTCAGCGGCAAAAGCGCCTGCCTGGCAAGCGCAAGGTCGTGAGTTCGGTTCCCGGTATCGGGGAAAAACAAAAAATAAAAAGTAGGATGATGGCATGGCGTTCTGCCCCTTAATATTCCATCTTGAAGAACTTTAAATTTTTACTCATGATATAAATAAGGACATGCATAAAAATAAAGGCGAGCCGATGGGATACTAGAAGGTGATCGAGAGCGGGCGAAGGAAGAGAGGGAGAGAGCAGGGAGGGAAGGTGAGGGGGCAAGGAGATTATTATAAGCATGCACTATTGAAAGAGGAAAAAAAGTACACGAAATATGTAGGATAAAAATGACAAAACAGTTCCTCATGTGTTCGGTAAAGAGGGCAAGACTTAGTGCTGATTTCCGAAACGCAAAGCCGAATGAGGCCTGGGTTTGATCCCTAGCAGCACACACAAAAAAATAAATTAAAGCAAAAATAAAATGTAAGCCGGTGCACACGCCTGTAGTTCCAGCACTTTGGATTGCTGAGGTAAGACTGACAGTTTGAACCCAGCCTGGGCAATTTAGTGACTTAAGAAGCACCCCTCTCCAGGTACAGTTTGCAAAGGAGCGGGAATGTAGCGGGCACAAAGGCCCTGGGTTCAGTCAAGGGGGTGGGGGAGCAAAAACAGTAGTTTGTCTACTTGCTCCAGTTTATTAGCAGAAAGAGAACATGCATTTGACCAGCAAAATAACTGCATCTGTGAGAACCGGTAGAGGTGATTCACCTGGCAGAGAATTAGGACATTTCTCTACATTTCTGTAGACTGCAAAGAAAATCTGAATGACTTTTAAACTTGTGTTAAGCCATGAAAAAGCTCTTCTGTGGGATTTTAAAGGAAGCGCTTATATGAGACACTGTATGCTATTCAGATTTCCTAGCACCCTCCAAACCTGAAGGAACTAATTTATCCTCAGTTTATGGATGAGGAAACTGAGGCAGAGGTTGACCAACTTGCCAGAGATCAAAGCATTGGGAGGGTGAAATTTATACCCAGCAATCTGCCTTCAGACCCAGAGCTCTTAATCACTGAGCCAGGCTATTATGTTTGTGTATTTGTATTATTTTCCAAACCATCACAGCCATTCCTGTAGAGGGGAAAAATCAACACATCAGTCTCCAGAACAGATCTGAGCAGATTTTCGTTGCCTGTTACCAATGCCAAAGTAGTGCTGCCAGCGTCTAAGTCTAAAATGCTGTAGGTTTTTATGTGATGTTTCTGGGACAGAGTCATTTATCACATCTGGCTTTTTACTCATTAAAAACGTAGCGCTTTTGCTAACACCTGGCCTTTGGTTTCTGCGGCGCTGCTTTTTCTCGTAGAACTCTTTGAAGTCAACCTGTCCAGCTCTCCGGGGATCTGCACAGCGCGGGCGGCTGCCTCTTCCCTTTAGCAGCCGGGGTCACGTTAAGGCAGTGGTTATAGTCACTGGGTCTTCTAGGCTCAGGCAAGAAAACTTTGACTCTGCTTAAGGAAATCAGTAGAGGAATGTGTTTTTTAATTGGTGGTTTCAAACCAATTGAACTTAATCTTAACTAGTGATGTGTTTTCAAGCTTTATTTTTTTCCTGAAAAAATAAAAAACTGTCTTGAAAACAAAGTGCACTGAAAATGTTTATGTAAGGACATTACAGTAGACAGCTTTACTACGAATTAATCTAGCACGTTCCTCCTTGCTGTTTTTTTGTTTGTTTTTTGAGGTTGTTTTCCCAATCCTTTTAAATTTTTTTAATTTTGAGACTGGGTCTCACTGAATTGCCCAGACACAGCTCAAACTTTTGATCCGCCCCAGCGTCTCAGAATTTTTTAACTTCTCTAGACAATAATAAATCTATTTTTGAAGGTCTCGAAGCAGAGATTTCTCTTAGTACAAAACATTTTAATAAGAAGGTCATTTAGAATGAAAATTGAAAACCAAACAAAAGCAACGCCTGTCCAGCATGCATTTTCTCTGTCTAAAGTAATCCGCTTGACTCATTTCTTCGGAGATAAGGTAAAGTACAGGAAATACGATCCAGGTGTGGATCCCGAAAACGTATATGCACCATTTCCCCTCTTCCTTCTCCGCTTCCGCGCTCGGGCCAGTCCGGGGAGAGCCGCGTCCTGGAGCCGACAAAGCCAAGCAACGGATGGAGAAGAAGGCCTAAGGGTTCCTCCACTTAGTTTTTAAGTTTTCTGTATGTTTATTTATTTACTTGTGCTGCCCTGGTCTTCGGAGGCCCGCCGCTGGCCTCGGTCAGATGCATACTGAAAAGTCAGGCGGACACACACACCCCGGGACGCGGTCGGAGCCCGAGCTGGCCCTTCTCCCCGCTGGACGCGCGGCCTGGGAGCCCTGGCGCAGCCGCTGGCTGGACGAACCCCGGGGGAGCCCCGGCGCACCCGAGCCGGCTCCCGACGCCCGGGGCGGGGTGGGGTGCCCGGGCGCGGCGAGGTCTCCTTGTCTGACGTTATCGGAGCCGGCCACAAGGGCCACATGCGAAGAAGCAAACATCCGGCGCGGCTTCCTGCGAGCGCGGCTTTCCCAGCGCGAGGGGCGCGGGGCTCCGGGCTGCAGGCCGGCGCGGACGGCTGCGCCAGGAGAGGGTCGCGGGCGACGAACCCCGGTAGGTGCGGCGCTGAGGCCGAGCCGAGCGCT